TCAACATGCAAGCAGTAAAAAGTTACATCTCCAGGGAATTTATTTTAAACACATCTAAATATCATAAATCATATGTACTTGTTTGAAATGGTCTCTAAAAAGCAGATCATTTTGATAAATGATTATAAATACTGCGAAATCATGGGTTTTGAGGACTTCTGATTGGTTTCTGAAACACATCAGTAAGAAAAATGAGCTGCACACTTGTAATCAAAAAGAACTGTGTAACTGATTCATTAATATGTCTGTGCTTTTCAGTGTGGTTGTAAACAGAAGCAAGAAAAAGTACATAATAAAGCATAGTTTTTCTGGAAAGAGTTAATTTGTTTGGTATCCAGTATAAAAACATCACTTACCATTAAAAAAACCCCACCACCAACAAAAAACCACCTCTGTAGATTTCATAAATTAAACAAGTTCAAAATCCGATGAAGAATAATTGTAGATTTAGGAGAAAACTTGTAAGGCTGATTGCTTAGCAAATATTGGGCTACTTAGTGGGCTACTTGCTGGATTGTTTAATAGATGAAAATTTGCGATGCGTTCACTTTTGCTCTCAGGACATATAATCAGGAATGTTTCTAGGACTGTAAAATTTTTAAACACTATTTTACTAATACATTCTCAGAATTCTTTGTCCACAGCCAAAGAATAATTTTGTGTGGACAGAAATAAGTATGACCTATAATTATGCATTTCTGTCTGTTTATATATATCATTCAGTAGGATTTACACTTCCCGCGCCCCCCCCAACCCGCCCTTGTAGAAACACTGGGGTCCCAATCTAGACGTTCACTGGAGCACAAATGTTTTTGTGAGAAGGTCTGTTGACTGTAGTGGAACTACTGAAGTGTTCAAGGTTTTTTAAGCCATTGGAGCTTAATTCTGTTACTCTGTTTTAAATCTTTGGCACAGAAATGTAATTGTATGTTCTTCTTTTATTATTTGGTATTAAGCACTATCAAAGATCCCAGTCTTCAAAGCAAAGTCACCGAGGGGTCTGGATGAGTAAGAAGTGTTGTACTAGAACAAAATGCGGAAGGAGATATGGGCACATGGGGATTAAAGATCTAAACATTCTGGCAATATCTGGAGAAAATTTCACTAAAACTTTTCAAAAAATCGTGGTTGTAGTTACCTGTCTGGATTTTTAAACTGCTGTTGCATGGTAGGGACAGAAAAATGCTTTATAATTCTTGCAGGTATTTATTGATAAAATATTAGGATTGCCTGGTTATTTGAGCATTGCCAATTCAGCATTATATATATAAATGGAATTTTAATTTCATTGGTTTTAACATCCTAGGATAAAATTTGTCCTAACATATCTAACATAACTTCTCTAGTATTTTGCACAGTAAGTAATCAGAGTTCGGATTTTTTTTTGTCAGACTTGTTGTCCTTTTTAGACATGCTAATTATTTAATAAGTGCTTTTTAATTGCATATAGTTTGCTGTTTGGAAATACTCATTCTTTAGTGATGTGATGACTCGATAAGCTGTATCTTTGAAGTCCTCAAGAGCAGGATTGAGCTCTGTGTCTTGAAATTCAAGGGAAGGTGACAACATTATCTCTGCTGCTGTCTGCTAATAATCCGATATTGCACATCGAATTTTTGCTTTGAGCAAATACACTGTTACATGGCAGTGTGAATGGTCGCTGTAGCACGTTTCTTTCAGTAGCAAAATGTATTCTACCAAGCAGTTTTGCTAGTCTCCGGAAATGAAGTGAAATAAATCCGGTTTCATCTGCTAGAATGAACAAAGTTTAAATCCATCAGTAAAATGTAGTTATGGTGGGGTTGGGTTCAATCCTTATTTTTGCTATGTTATCCTGTGTCCTTGTTCTAATACACTTAAGAATGCAACTTGAAAGGACATGAAAGGAAAGTCATATTTTTTAAATATAAATATAAATACTTGCATATGTCGCTAATAAGGTTTCTGTCTAAAGTAGTGTGGTGTTAGAGAATTTTGATAAACAGTGCTTGAGGCTACTTCATTACATCAATGCACAGCTGGGCACTGAACCCAGCCTCATGATCTGTCTCGAGGCTGTGCCCCAACCTATATAATGGCAATACCAGTGCTTTCCTTCCATTTGTAAAGTACTGTAAGCTTTTATTAAATGAAAAGCTCTGTGTGCGTGTGTGCTTTTTTTAGTAGGCTTTAAAGACTTACAGATCTGCATCACCATTTCTCAAGTACTGCTGGTGACAGGGTAGGAGCGAGATGGTGCACAGCCACCTCGCAGAAAAAGCCTTCCTCCCACTCCTCAGCAGGGCAATCACATCACCTCTACCACCGTGGGCTTGGGGGGCTGCGTAGGTGTGTGTGCACAGCAAGAAGTCATTTGACTTCTGGGGTGAGTGTCTGGGGTCTTTGATGACCGGATAGCTGCTTTTCTATTGTATTTAATGAAAGTTTGAATTAAAAAATGTCCTGATGTAATTGTGTTGGACACACACAGTCTAGTCTTGTATGTCTTTTAATTATTTGAATGACCGTGGGCTTGGGGGGCTGCGTAGGTGTGTGTGCACAGCAAGAAGTCATTTGACTTCTGGGGTGAGTGTCTGGGGTCTTTGATGACCGGATAGCTGCTTTTCTATTGTATTTAATGAAAGTTTGAATTAAAAAATGTCCTGATGTAATTGTGTTGGACACACACAGTCTAGTCTTGTATGTCTTTTAATTATTTGAATGACTAAAAAAGTTATCAAAATAAATGCTTTATAAACATACATGCTAAGGGAAGTTTCACCTGGAAGATATTGATGACAAAACTCCCACCGATTTTTGGTAGTAGCAGATTTTAAGATAGGCATTCTTACTATGATTGTAGCTTAGTTGAGAGAAAGAGATAGACCAGTTAGCCGTGCTAGTGCTTATGCTTTTTGTGATACGCTCTCTCGCATGCTTGCAGCGGCAAACACAGCAAAGGAATGCTTGTTTAAAAAAACCGCTGCTGCCATCGGTCTTAGCTTTCTAGCATTTGTTGTCCTTGTTATTTATTAATATATTACAAAATCTGTGTCCTTTGATAAGTTTACCTAAACCATACCCATTTAAAATAGTATTTTAATAGACAAAAATTTAAATCACACATGTTATTCAATCTCTGCTAATTTTATATATATATCTGTAATATCACTAGTGCAGAGTTGCATCACAGTATCCTAGCATTCACTGAGTGATGCAAAGTGGAAAAAAAATCATTAATATAATGGGATATAGTAGTAGACAGTTCACTGTCATACATGAAAAGTTGCTTCTGAAGTCAACTGAGGTTGTCAAAATTCTACTTGGTAACATCAGTGATATTAAAGATGTAATATTCACTGTAGATTAGGGAGGATGTCCTTAATTTTGAGATCTTAGGCCTACAGAAGACAGTAACATACCTCCTATTCGGAACGCGAGTTTATTTTCTATACAGAATTGTGACTTTTACAAATAGTTTTGGGGGTAGGTTACTTGACTGGAAGTTGTGCATATTACTAAATAGGCATGCGATTATGCATGAAAAGAAAAACCAGGAATCACACTTTGAAATTGGCTACTGAATATTTTGTTGTGTAATGATGAATGTAATCATTCAATACTATGCAGTCTGAAATCACTGGAGCTTCTTGCTCAATACAAAGAAAAAAAGCAGTCTGAACTTTGTATTGAAAATTACCTGTGCTGCATAAACCTTGCAGTAGTGGGAAAAGGGGCCCTTAAAATACATAAATCGAAGAAAACATACATGAAAGCTTAATGGTCATTTGAAAGAACAGTTATTTTGTACGCAAACCTATATTTCCTTTTATCTTTCTTTTCAACAAATAAAATAATTGACTAAACAGCAGAAGAAACAAGTCTCAAAGGAATGATTTCTTTCTTTCTTTCTTTCTTTCTTTCTTTCTTTCTTTCTTTCTTTCTTTCTTTCTTTCTTTCTTTCTTTCTTTCTTTCTTTCTTTCTTTCTTTCTTTCTTTCTTTCTTTCTTTCTTTCTTTCTTTCTTTCTTTCTTTCTTTCATGAAACTGCTTCTTGGACTAGAGAAAAATTGGTTGATTGAATATTATTTTATAGGAAATAGGATATGAAAAACTAAAACTGAAACAGATTACTGCAGGCATTTAAAAGTCCTTCTTCCTTCTGTATCCTTTCAGAACTCTAATAGCTATTTTTTATTTTTAGTAAGTGAGCCTGAACAAATGCTGCCTTACATAAACTGTGTTAGATGCACTTCAGTAGCCTCTGCCACCATTGTGAGTTTTAATTCTTAGACTGCGATCCTACAATCATGCCAGTATGCATTTAATTTTGTATGTTGGGAGATGAATGAAATCTTGGGTGTGTTGAAGTCGAAACTATTGAGTGGAGCCAGGACTCCACAGAAGAAGTAGTCATATTACTTCGACAGGAACACACCTGAGCTTAAGTGTATGTTTACACCTTTTAGTGAATTGGGGACATTAGTCACTTAAGTTTACCAAGTGGAAAAAACTGTTTCCCACTTTGGTCCTTCTAAAAATAGATACTAAAAAATCTGTTGGACATATGTGGACTGACAATATAGCTCTGAAGAGAGCTGAATGAACTGTGGGTTTTTCTACCTGCCAAGCAAAAAATGGCATATTCTAGAAGCATGCAGTGTACCCTGAGTGTGCACAGGGGCTTCTTTGGAAGGGGGTGTTTTTACGGGGTGAGCGAGGCTTCTCAGGCCTACGGGTCTCAGTAGCTTTTCAAGCCTTTCATTTTTTTTTCCAGTTGGTGCAGAATACCAGAACACTGTAGGCCCCGTCCTCATAGGATATGTGGACAAGCAAAACCTACTTGTTAAAATGTGCTTATTGCTGTAAAAAGAATGCTAGGACTAGGTGACTAGATGTCTCCCAAATTCATGAAAATATCAGTTGCTTTAATGAAGGCAAAAGAACTGAAGTCAGATATGTTGATAACTGTACAATGGCATATTTTGCGAGGCTTTGGTACACTGAGCTGGTAAAAATGGCATGAGTGGAAGCCCCGGCGACTACGGCGACATTGACTGCTTGAAGATGCCTTGTAAAGCTTTGTGCTTGGAATGCCAGACAGTGTTTTCTGCCAGAAGAAAACAGCAGTCTAATGGGGGCTAAGGCATGTTCACTTGTTTCAAATGGATATTTTCTGAAGTAGACTTTAAAACCTAGTAAAAGTCCACAAATCATACTCACCTTACATAGGGTTTAGGGAGAACTGAGAACATTGCAAGTCCTTTGCACTTTGGGATTACTGATTTAATTGACTCAGAAGTGACATAGTAGTATTAAGCTCTTTTTTTTTTCTTTTTTTTCCCCCCTTTCTATATTCTTGTTTTGGGAGTACCACAATGACCTCAAGCCACAGCTGTGTGTTAAGTCTTTGCGTTCCTGAGGACATTAGAACAATACACACTGATGATCTCACTCCAGGCTCCCTGTCCCTCCCTCCCTCCCTTTCTTTTTTTACACAAGTCCGTTTCTGAAGGACTGTACGCCTGTATATCCTTTCAATTTCATTTTATCCTTGATGAATGAGCACTTTCTTTTTTTGAAAAACAAAATATACTACCCTTTACCTTAATGGGAAGTTAACCAACAATAATTTAAGAACTTCAGTGATCCGCTAACTAGAACAGTACTGTTAGGTAATAGTCTGTTGGGCAATGCAAGATGAAGCAGTTACGGATCAGTGGAGCAAAGTCAGATAAAAATAGGTGGCTTCATTAGCAGTTGTCCATAAGGTGCAGCATTATCTTTTTTTATATTATTACCACTTTAATGTACATGATTTTCTAATAGATTATATTATTGGGCCAATAAAAAGAGTAAATATTCTGTCTGTATTATTTGTTTTTATGAAATAAAATATTATTATTAAAAGTAGTAAATAGAACAACTTAAATTATAAAATTAAAAAAAAAATACTGTGAATATGCGCAGGAGAAAAAGCTGGAGACAAGGACACAAATGTTTTCAATTGGTTTACCTTATGAAGAAATATTCTGCCAAATTTTCCTGTAGCTTTGGTTTAGCTTTGCATTTTAATTTTTTTCTCCACTCATTCAGACGCCTTTGCTTTTTACACTTCGATACATTGCTATAACTTTATGAGGCAGACATCTTTATTGCTTTAATATGAGGGTATATACAGAAATCTAACAGTATTCGAACCCTATAAAGCTATCTTTATTTCACTGTTTCCAAACTGAAATTTAGACATGCAGAGAAGGCGCTAATCGAGTTTGCAGTGTGCTGGCATGAGAAATATCAGAGATTTAATGTTTTTGTATTTGCAAACATATCAAGAGAGCTTTGCCAGACGTGACACCCAAACAAACACTTTTTTTGGATAGAGATTGTATGTTTCAAGTACAGTGGCTAAATGCATCCAGCCGTTTTGAAGTATGTTTGCTGAAATATAACTTACAGAATGACTCAATCCTTCAAAGTTCTTGGGGAAGCCGTTTCCTTCCCTCCTGCAAAAGTCACTCAGTGCTTTGCCAGACTGTGTACTGATGCTCTAATCCCGTTGAAGCTTAGGTTACTGTGTATAATTCTCTTGGAATTAATACTATAATGTTGAAAAAGTTAAGCACAGACATGTTGGTTGCTACTTTGTCATTGATTCCTTCAACTCAATGGTGTGCGGCTAAGAAATGTTTGGAGTTCTGCAACATATGGGTAGATATCATTAAAATATTATTTATGGAGGTTCTGGCTTGCTTTATGTTTTTCAGGCATGTTTCCACAACTAATTGATAGTCTTAATTCTCACACACACAAACTAAAAGCTGCATCCATGTTAACCTTGAAACATATGGTTGACTTGATTATGTGGATAAGTGGAAAGCTTGATTCTCTGCATATAGTGGAGTCTGGCTACATGTTATTGCTGGCCTATTAATGAAAAGGACCTTGTTAATGTATCAGCAGACTCTTATTACAAAAGGCAGAGGTGAAATCCATACTGAGCTAGAAATGCAAAAAGTACAGCTTTTATCTGAGGTGTTCATATGAATTTACATGGAGCCTTACTAGTTATTTCGTGGAGGGTTCGTGTTCCCTAAATACCTCTGGAAGAGTATTTCTGCAAGTTTGGGAACTGAAGCAAGTCCAGGGAATGTGTGTAGCGCATTGCACAACAAGTACAAAAAGAAAGTCTCGCTAATCAGCCTTTGCACCTCCCCTGCCATGTCATTTAATGTCTTGTATCTCTCAGCTCTCATAAAGCCTAAGAGCTAGCTTTATGCAGTTAAAGTCAGTTTCTTTATAAAAGCAGACAGCATTTCCTTTCCTTCCAGGGCAAGAATGCACAGATGTAGGAAAAAAATGCTCACAAAAGAGACCTGGGGTAAGCACAAAGCATCTTTTTACAGCAGCAAAACAACTTCATCCTTGGTTTCCCCAGTACAAGGCCATGGACTGCTGCTTGTTCTGAACAGGCTGAGAACTATGGTTTAGAAGATCTTATTTTGCCATGAGAGTTTGCAAGTTGCTGTTATCAATCTTCTCTCTCTCCATCATGTTTTCAGACTGTTTTGCAAATGACTTTTATACCACTTAACAGAAATCAAATCCTGTTTTCCTGCCCTGGCCCATTCTCGGCTCCTATTTTAACCCTGCCAAAACGAAAGCTGTTGAAATGATCCTACCTTTCAATCATACCCTTTTGAAATTCCCTTCCTAGAATCCTTCTTCTGGTTCCAACTTATCCTCTCAGAGTTAAACTTACTCCTCTGCGAGGTGTTGCCCAACTGCTGCTCAGCCAATGTTTTGGATCCTGTTTCTTATCTACCTCAATGCTTTCTCTGTTCTGTCTCAAGTGTGTTCTTCCTTTTTCCATTCACACTCTTCTCTGTCTTTGGTGCGGCTCACGTACATGCAAGAAACATCCAGAAGCAATATTCTGTCATTATTCCATTGGCCCCAAACTATCAGTTGTTTTACTGTGAACTTACTTTTGGTAACTGTAGGTCAGACATGGCTCTTCTATGCATTTATGGTGTGTAAAAAGAGTGTGCAAGGCTGAGAATAAACAGGAAAAAAAAAGATAAAACAAATGTTTCATGTGCTCTCTCTTCTCTTTTTGAGGTTTTAACTTCATAAGAGTGTGTACCACAGAGCAGATTCTGTAAACAGCTATAGCGGAAAGCGAGTATGACCCAGCCATGACAATGCTGATGGTTAATATTTAATACCAGTGATGTATCCAGTGTTGAGAAGAGCCCTGTATAAAAAGGGAGTATTTGAAACTAGGCCAAATGGGTGAAAAAAAAAGAATCTAACTTTCTTAAAATGCACTCTTTTAATTCCAAGATTTTAGGTAATAAATACTTGTGCCAGAAGGAATGTGCTTTAAAGAAAGCAAAGTCTCATTTTGAAGGCGCCTGTAAACTCTTTAAATAGCATTGGCAATTTGTCCTTTTGCTCTAAGCTTTCTGTAAGAACAATTTTGAAAACAGTAAAATATTTTTTGTGATTCCATTTCATTGATATAATAGAGATGAACATACATTTGTTGTGCATGTGAGTGTGTGTGTATATCAAATCTAAAATGACAGCAGATAGGGACCTGGATAGTCCACTTGATTTGATGGGACCAGCACTTAGTTATACTGTCCTATTTTATTCCTAAATATGTTTTAAAAACAGTTTGGGGAGGATGAGGGAGCTGCAGGCAGGGAGAGAAAAGAAAAGGTACAGGAGTCTTGCTTATACCTTTTGAATGCTTGGGCTTGGCAATTTTGCAGTTATTTTCAACATCTAGCATTTTTCAGTGTAATATCAGCAAATAGAGTGCATGGTAAAATTACAGGAGATATTAAATCTCAACTCTGGAGACATAAATTCACATGAGGATCAGATCACAAGATTGGCTGCTTTCCTGCTAGTCTCCAGTGGGCTTTTTTCCATATCACAAAAATCACCATACAGTTTGGCACGACCTTCAGGCTCAGTGAAGAGGGTTCTGTTCCAGGACTGAAATAGCCAAAAGCACTAGATGCCAGAATTGAGGTGCATTTGCAGTGTAGGACAGAGACAGTTTTACAGCTTTTGTCTCAACTCTTCTTTCCCCTTGCTAGGAATAAATCTGTTTGGGTTTTGGTAGGAGTTCTATCAACTTTATAGAGGAAAGAGGGAGGAATGAGATGCTAACCTTAGTATTTGTGACTTCATAACTAATGAAAACCTAGAAGTGTGTTGTGTCAGTAACCCACATTTCTGCAGCACACATTAGAATCTAATAGAGAGTATTTGAGAAGATTTAAAAAAATTGGTAAACAGATACTTTTCTGGTCAAAATTAGAAAAAAAATTAAACAAGAAAGTTGCAGACTTCTGAAAGTGATGGAGTCCTGCTCCCTTAGCCCAACTCCATCAGCAAGCTGATGTTTCCAGCAACTTCAAAAACAGAAGACTTCTCTGTAATCCTAAATGTACATAAGGAACAGATTAAAGTCCTGATTTGTGAAAAAATTTGAGCAGATGCTTAAGAACCATTGACTTCAATGGGAGTTAAACATGTCCTCACACACGCTTTTTGAACTGGAGACTAATAAGGATACTAAAAAGGATCAAGAGGCTGCCCCCCTTCAGGAAATGCTGCCAAACTGTCATAGCTGAATGCTTTTTTTGTCATAATAATACTCACTTTCATCACTACCCTCCTCACCTCACCTCCAACCTTCACAAAGAGGAGAAAACAACCCTTCTCTCCCTCTCTTCTCCAAGCAACTCTATGCTAGGCCAAGCTTTCTTTGGCTCCAAAATGGAGAGGAACTACAGACTCTGCGGTGTCCATTAGGTATGCCATTATTTCCAGTGTAATGAATGTGGATGATGGTCAGGTGGTACAGTGGATGGTTGTTGAACAACCTCCCTGAGGTTGAATTAATTACAAGATAATTAATTACATTGCTGTCTAGCTATGCAGACCTAGGAATGATTGGAAGGACATAAAGCACAGTACAGGTTTTAAAGAAAAATTAAAAAAAAAAAAAAAAAAAGGAAGGAAAGGAAGCCTTGCTAAAAAGTCACACGTAAT